CGAGAAAAAACCTCGAAAAATTTCTTTTTTTTATTTTCATACGTAAAGAAATGAACATTGCTGATTGTTTGATTTTCTTTGTTGATTAATGTTTGTATATGTATTTTGTTTAGAATATATATTTTTAATTGTTATTTAGTTTTGTCATATGTCAATAATCATAGCAGAGTACTCGAGATAATATTTATATAGATGATTATTTGTAAAATTCTTCTTCTAAAAATTGAGTTATTGACACATAATAAACGTTTATCTTCATCAATTAAAAAAAAACTTATCTATTGATTTGAGTTAATTATTCAAACATCAGTAGAATATTGTTAGAAATAGAATGATAGCATTCTTTATTGACAGTCTTGAATATATTTTCATAATAAAATGTTTGAAGAAGTCAAGGTCAATATCAATAACATGAGGCGTAGGTTTTATTTACACTACATGTATCCCTGGTATAATATATCTGATAGGTTTTGTCATTAGAAAACCTATCGTGACAACTCATAAACGAAAGCTGATTATGATCCATCATTAGCTATTCAAGATAAATATCTTCACACGCTACATAAATGAATCATTATTCTGATGGCAATTTTCTAATTCTATTGCATGTTAAAGTTATATGAATATTTTATGCATATTTAAGTATTGTGTATTTTATTGTCTCTATTTATGATGATATTATGAAGATGATCATTACTTATTTGATTCAATTGTGTTTTTTTGTTTTTGTTTTCTTGCAGAAAGGAACCTAACTGTAAGAAGAAAAATCGTTTAGATAGCTTGATTTAATGGTATTAAATAGCAAGAGAAAAGAAACACGATCCTATTTGATAGAAAAGTGAGTTAGGAAATTATTAAATCACTTACTAAGAAAATGTGCTGTTCATTTCAATCAACATCATGACTTGCGGATCGTGTTTGAACGGCACTTTTTTTTTCGCCTGACTGCTGTTATTTTTACAAAGTTGCACGATAACAAAGCCAACATAGAGTAGCTTTGAGATAAAGCACTCAGTTCATTCGCTCGTCTGTCTTTTTTTTGTCGATCGACTAATATAGCCGAATCAAGAAACTATAAACAATCGCTCGGCTCAGTATGGATGCTCGATTCATGCCATGCTGTTGATAATGATGGTAAAAGAACATTATGATCAGTTTTCTTCGTATCTGTCTCTCCTTTCATCTCTCTCTCTCTCTCTCTTTTCCTACTCTATTTTATCCCATTCAACAAGGTCGGATGCTTAAGAAAAAAAAAGGGAACTTTCTGTCATCTACTGCTCATTCTTGTTCGTCTCATTTTTGTATTCCATTTCTTTTGCTGCCCTTCCCCCTCTCTCTCTCTCTCGTTTTCTTATTGTCGGTTTTTTTTAAATCGCTCTTCGTTGCTCTGCATAGCGCCCATGCGACTTCAAATATAGAGTGCAAAAGGCAAACAACAACAACGATCAAGTCAAACACATATACTCACAACATAATGAAATCATTTCCGTTAACTAGAGGTACAATTATAACCGTTACTGTAGTTCGTCATATTTGTCTTTGATTATTGTTTGGATGTGTGCATGATTTTCTTCTTTCAACAACAATTAAACAAAACTTAAAATATTATTATGAGCCACTTCGTACGACAATCAACACTTAAAACAAAATTTGCTACATCATTTATATCCAGAACACGCAAATTCGTACGTGAAGGTCTTAAAGGTAAGAATAAATATATAAGTAAAATAATCATTTTATATACTTGTGTAATTGACTTGAAGTTAAACAGATCGAAAGAAAAAATAAAGCTTATTTGTTATTACATTGACGCAATACAAAAAAAAAAAAGAAAAAAAAAAAAAAAAAAAAAATTTTTTTTTTTATTTATAGAAAAATTGAAAATATTTAAAGAAATATATTTGTTTAAGGAAAAGTTAGAAAACCAAGATTATTTAATATTCATTAATAATAAAATAGCTTTGAGTATATACATTAGTAATCTGCAGCGAATACAGATGTTCTCGTCATTATCATGAATTAGTTTTACTAAAATAGAATTTTTTTTTCTTTTTCTTGTAACGGATATCCGGTTTAGATGATAATTATCGTTTTCAGATTTCTCTAATTTATTAAAATAAAATTGTTGATGTCAATATTCCATCAAATATAAAAAAAATATATATATTGAAATAAAAAGAAAATATTCAAAATTGTCGAAATATACTTAAGTTAGTGCTTTGTTAAGTAGATCGACAGATGTTCATATAAAGTAGTAAACAATTGTTGATATACATCCATGTCAGTTTCAAATGACACTATACATAAGAAAATGATCAGATATTATTTTGATTAAAATCGACAAACGGTAACAGTTGTTTGAGGAACATAGTAAAGCACTTCTGGTGTTGGCATATATATGTATATAAATAGACTTGAACTTTTATAATATAATATATGGCTTTTAATTTAATATTGATTTATATATATATATATATATGCATATAAGTATGAATAAAAGAATATTTATCAATAATCATCTTGTAATCGAAAGAACATAATTGACTCTCGACATTTCCTTCTTTAAAACAAGTACTTGTCGTCCTTTTTCGAAGAAGCTTTTCCTCAAGTGATTAATGTTAATTGTAGCAATAGGATGAAAAAGCACTTATTTATATGTAATAGGAGAATACGACTAATATTATTTTGTGTCTACTTACTCATTCTCTCGAGGTAATGTCTTTTCTATGAGTTTTGTGTGCATCATGTATATGAAAACTAAATTGAGCAAAATAACAATAACTTCCTTTAATTTTTTTTTCTTTCTCACTGAATGTTTTTCGTGCAAATGCACATTGGAAAAATGAGGATCCTTGAACATGATATTATATATTTATGAACTGAATAATAGGTGAACTACTTTCATAGGAATTGCACTTCATCGGTCTGTATAATTTTGTATCTCTCCTAGGAGAGAGAGAGAGTTTATGTTATTTTTTATTAGATGTTAGATGTTTTTTATTAAGATCCCATTGAAACATAGAGACTAAGAGGAATGAAGCACGATATACAAAGAAATTAAAAACATTTTCTTTGTTCTGTGTCTTCTTATTGTCATTTACTTTCAAGTTTTCTTTCGGAGTACTGCATAGATTGAATTTCTTGAACTTGAACCCGAAAAACTTATTCGTCTATATATATACTAGACCAACTATTTCTATTGGATATATATGCATTCAAAAAAAAGCTTGCAACTTTTTCTAAAGGTATGAAATACACTTCGAACTGACATCAAAAGAATTTCATTAGTTCTAAAACAATTTCAGATATGATCAGAAAAAAAACTTTCAAAATTTAAATAGAGATTATTGAATGAATATAAAATTCAACAATAGTAGAGTATCGAGTATCTTATTTAAATTTTACTTAAACATTACGACAATAATTTTGAGTTGTTTTATAAAAGTATTCAATTAACATTAACCATTAGTGTAGAGTTTCAAAGTCATAATATTTATGTTGACTTTTGTCACATATTTGAGAGAGATTGTCTCAGACGAAAGTATTTAGTTAACATCTGTTACTCATCAATCTTCCATTTATAGAAAGACTTGGAATGAAAACTATTTTTTTATATTCTTTCCAGAGCATGTCTACCAAAAGGGCAAAAGTCTCCAGACTGATTCAATCGCTAGTACATTGAATGTTATAGGTTAATGATATTGAAAATTTTAATAAAATAACAGAATAACATTGTCATGATTCCTTAATATCATCTAAGATAATATTACCCAAAATTTTATAGTTTTTTTCAAGTATGCTCATACTATGACTTACTTATGTTCTAATGGATTGAGTCATAATATGGTAGGGACGAACGATAAGTTGTAAAATCGTTATCATATATGTATATAGATAATATGAGTTAGTAACTTTATGGCATATTAATATTTATATCTATTGTTGATAAGTACTTAGAAAGCAGTAGATTGCATGAGACACAATAAACTTAACACTTTATAAAGCTCCACCTGCAAGCCAAATATCCTAGTAAAAATCGTCTTTCCTTAGGTGTTTATATTATAGTAGATATATGAATATTACTGATTTTCATGTTTCAATAAATTCATACTAGTCTAGGTAATATAAGTTTTTATGTCAATAGCAACGTGAGATCTTTCATATTTATCATTATCTAAAGTATGTGGTGATATGATGTTCTTCTTCAACATACAGATGTACATATCTGTAAGACATACGATATTTCATAAATCATACGTACATGACTATTAATCACTTTTTTTTGTGTTTTGGTTATTAACGATTGGCATCTAAAAATGGGACGATAATGATAGTAAAGCAACAAAATAGAAAGAGAAAAGATGAAAAAAAAAGCCAGAAATACATTGGTAACTATTTCCAAGACTCTTCTGATATTAAATCATGCAAATGACTATACGATGCATCTGAATAGACATGTCTGTCATTCGATCAGAGGTCAAATTACTACATTTAAAAGAAAAAGATTCTATATTGTTCGTTGACAGTCATCATAAATAATTCTTCATAGATCTTTTTGTTTTTATCATTCTATATCCGACAAAGAAAACAAAAAAAAAATTTTATTTTTTGATTATTAGTTTTTTCTTTAAACTTTCTTGATCAATTAAATTGATCATCGTTGATACATACCACTATATATATGTGGTAAGTTATTGATTTCTTTTTCTAGATTTTCTTCTTCTTTTTTTTTAAATATAGTAAATAATAATACCTGATATATGTGAGTTTTTCTATTGCATATTTGTATGAATGAATGACATGTGTTGGTTTGTATATGATGCTATTATTCTGCATCTTTCTTACCAAAAACAATCGCTTCGACAAAGATAAGAAATACTAAGAAGATTCTGAAGCATCTGCAAATATTTGCAGCTTCAAATATATTGATTGTTTTCTTTAATTACCTTTGTTCTTCTTTATCTTCTTCTTCTTGTTAACAATATTTCAAGAGAAAAATTATGGGTGTTGCTATGGTGATCAGTGGACGAATGGGAACAAGTAAGTTACTTTTATTTTTTATAGAAGTAAAACCAAAAGAAAAACGAAAATGTACGCGTGTTTCTTTAAAAATTAAACTAATTCGACAAGAGAAAAAAAGGAAAAGAAAAGATAATCATGTTCGAGCATGCGCGCATACTATTCCGGAAATGTTTGTCTCGAGTAACATAACGTGTATAGGAAGTTCATCGATTGTGTTAATGTTGAATAGAACAAAAATTTATTTCTAATAGATAGGATTTGTTGAATATGGTGGCCTTAAGATACATTTGATATTAAATCATAATACGCAAATTGACCTTTATTTCATTTCATTATTTTTTGACATTTACAATGATTTATTGTTGATATAACGTTTATCAATCGGTGTTTTTTTTCCTTTTCTTAATTATATATTAAAGTGTCAATGATTTATTCTTGTTTTGTGTTTTTCTTCGTTAAGAATAGTATTGTGTGAGAAGAAAAGAAAAGAAAATTTCTTTTCATAAATAGTTTATTAATAGATTAAGAAATAGGAGTCTATTAATAAGAAAAAGAAAAACTTCTCTTGGTTGTTTTTTTTTTTACACCTCAGAAATAATCTTCTTTTGAATAGAATAAGTATTAGAAGATATATGTCGATTTTTCATAGGTTTGAAAATAGTCGTTATAATAATGATAATTCGAATAGATTATAGAAGAAGAAAGAATCAATTTATTTAGATGAATAAATCTGTTTAAAATAATTAATAGAAAAGAAAAAAAATTAATGAATATACATTTGTATATTTATATCGTTTATCTAGAAATGCTGATATTTATTGGCATATTTTTCAGAAAAGAAATTCATTCTTTATTTGATGTTGGATAGAAACAAGTTCAAAATATACATGTTCAATTATTTATTGTCTTGAGTAATATATATATGTCTGTTAGTTACTTATTAGAAAGTTAGTCTTCTGTCAAAAAAAAAAAACAAACTTCAAATGTCTCTATTTCATTTATAGATGAATAAGTTTCTTTATATTTTACATGTTAAGTACATAGCCATGTTATATATATTAACATGACACGCCTCTTGTTCGTTTTGTATGGAAAATTTGTCCCTTTTGACTGCTCGATTGGCGAGTTGTTTATCTGTCAATTACGCTAACTGCATTATTTGTATATATGAGCACAGCAACTGATAGATGAATGCTGATGTATGATTGCTTTAAAAATAATAGTAACAGTTAGAGATAATGATGAGTTATCTGTCCATAAATTAAGTTTGTTTCATCACTTTACTTTATCATTATCTATATTATGAAAATATAAACCATGTGCACAATCATTCTTATATGACATTTTATAGAATAGCATGCATATATTATATATAATATATATATATATATATATACATCTATTCTGACAAGGAGGATTCTAACGTCACGACTAGTATATAATATCATGCATTTTCTCGCGTTTTTCCTTTTTTTTTTTTTTTTCTAACATACACAATCTAGTCTCTAGTCTTCTCGTCAACCATTAATCTTTTTAGAGTTGAGAACGAACGAGCGAGATATAGCCAAGTGAATGAAGAATGTGCGCAACTAAGAACGACAATGGAAGAGCGAGAAAAAAGTTTTTTGCATCTGAAGAAGAAATCTATTTACTGTGCCATATTCTTTCTATTCGTCCGAAAGATAACAAAGCTGGATTTAGAAAAAAAAAAAAAAAAAAGCGTTGAAGAGAATCTTTTACTATGTTCGATACTTTGACGTATAGTCTGTCAATTCTGTCATCATTACTCTTATTGAACACATAGTCAGTTTACTTCATTCAACATTCATTATCATCAGAATTATGATTGAGGTTGAGCATTTTTCCATTTTTTTTTTCTTTCGTATTCTTCGCTTTCTTTTTTTCTTTCTCAATATAATATCGTGTACACGAATAGAGAGAGAGAAACACGCTTTTTTTGTTTGAGACAAAAAAGACACTCAAAATGTCATTTTTCCATCCCTCTCTCCTCTATGTCTCGAGAAAAGCAAACGGTTTCTTCACGGACGACGACAACGATAACAACATGACATTCTACTCTCGCCTTTTCTCAATCATCATCAATGCCCAGACCACCCACATTTTTCTAAAATCTTCTTTTTTTTTTTCTCTTCATTTTCGTACAATGTGCTATGAATAATTGATTACCGACGACTATAACAAATTTTCCTATCTAGAAAAGACGATTATTTTAGATACAGAAGAAAAAAAAAAATAAGAAAAAGAACCAGAGAAAACCATAAGAAGAAATGGCACAATCGTTATTTTGATCCATAGGAGAAAAGAATCGATTAGTTATAACTTATTATTATATAAATATATAGACATATATATATATTGTCCAAGTCTTCTAAACAATGAACTCGAACCATTTAATATTGTAAAAATCGTATGGATGATCGACGATGGACGAGTATTCTTCGTCCGTCTGCTGTAAGTTCTTCTTTATATTTGTTTTTTTCCTCAGTTATTTTTTTTTATTTGATTCGTATTTGTACCAAACCTAATTATTATCCGAGAATCTTCAGAGATTTCATATGTGTGTACGTGTCATCGAACTAATTGGCAATTTACTATACGACTAAATCTATATATGTGCCTATATATGTTGTTATTAAGAGAACGAGAAAAAGGAAAGAAAATTAAAAATGATAAAAACATGCATTTTAAAAATGTTTAGGAAAAATAACATATATTTAGAATAGTTTATGTATCTATTCTAATAATAAATCATGATATATAGTTTTTTGTTAAGTGCACAGTTGTGTATTTGGCGCCATTCGCAAAAATGTGCTTCAATGGCATGCATATTTATCTCATCAGTAAAAAATAGAAATGATATAGATACATATTGTCTCCATATAAACATTGACATAATCATTATTGTCAAGAGAAAAGGATGAGGCCAATTTATTCTTGCTGTTTATGATATAGAAACAAAGGACGAAAGAGAAAATAATATTGATTTTATCCTTGAAATGAATTTAGTATCATGAAAAAAAAGAAAGATGATAATGATCACTAATTTATTATCTATGTTATCATGTTTGAAATTATAATGAGTTTGATGATAGCAGAGCTATTAACGAGAAATTATAGAATCGTTCTTTTGTTTTTTTTTTTGTTTGTTTTTATTGTTTTATTGTAATGAAATATAAAAATAGGTTAGATTAATAACGAGCAGATGGTTATTGTGAAGATAAAAATATGTAATCAGTGTGTGTGATAATTTTTGTGCAAAGAATTAGGTTTTGTCTTTGTCAAACATTCTCCAACAGAGAAAATGCCAAAAAAATTAAGTAAGATAATAAACTGCTTAGATGAAAAATAACTCTGAAGTCTTCAAGCTTTGAAAAAGCAACAAAAATTAATTAAAAAAAAAATTCTATATTTAGACACCGATTACGATGATGATGGATTAGAACCATTCAAACGTTACAAACCACGCAGTCTTGATGAATTAGCAAGTCGAACAAAGTTTAGTAAAAAAGAAATTCAACTTATATATCAAGGTTTCAAACAAGAGTGTCCGTCCGGTATGAATTATATTTAATTATTTTTCTTTTTTTTTTTTTGTTTTTGTTTTTGTACGAATAAAAAAAAAACAATATCTCTTTTATCAAGGTTTTGTTAATGAAGAAACATTTAAACATATATATGGACAATTTTTCCCATTTGGTGATACATCATCATATGCACGTCTTGTTTTTGCAACATTTGATTTACGGTCGTCAGGTTGTGTAACATTTGAAGATTTTCTTATTTGTTTATCAACATTATGTCGTGGTACACTTGAAGATCGACTTCGATGGATATTTACCTTATATGATACTAAAAAATCTGGCAAAATCACCCGAGATGTAAGTTATAAATTTAAAATACAAGAAGAAAAAAAAAAGAATCAAACTAATTAATCAATAAAAAAAAATATTTTTTCTTATTTTTATAGGATTTTCACATTATTGTTTGTGCTGTTTATTCATTACTTGGAAATGTTTCAACTCCTTGTTGTGATCTGGAAACTGTTCAACAACATACATCTACTGTCTTTCAACGATTTGACAAATTACATCATGGTTATATAACAATGGAAGATTTTATGTCGTTTTGTTTAAGTGTAAAAATAAAGATAAAAGAATTTATTTATTAGAAAAAAAAAAACATCAAGTTTTGAATCTATTTAGGATCCAACTATAATTCAATCAATTGATGCCCTACGAACAATTGTGTGATCATCATCTATCTTTCTCAATTTTCATTCCGTCGTCGATGTGTGCTTTTCTCTTTTGTTTTTTCGTCATTTCGTTTAAACCTTCTAATATCTTACCATCGAAAAGTATTCTTTTTCTTTAATTGATGTTGTACACGCAGAAATCAAAGAAATCTATAGTTATTAAACAATAATGACTAATGCAATTTATTAGATGAGTCATATTAATATTATTTCTACATCACATAGGTGTGGTTGTGTGTATATCTGTATCTGTTTTTCTTTTTCTACTTCAGTTAAAATAATCGTCGATTTATTTTGTTTGTTAATAAAAACCAGTAACCTAAAATGAATTTTTCTTATAATACATCAAAATCATTATCATCAATTTCTATTTATCATAATTCACATTTTTCACTTGATGATATCGAATCCGTACTTGAGCCTTTATTTGGAAGTTATTATGGTATTGAACAACTACGTACCATAATTTCTAGTGCGGATGATATATGGTGTGTTTATGATAGAGAAAACAATAATTATGTTGCTTGTGCACTTGTACAAAGCTTTCATACAGATAAAGTGCTCTATGTGAACTTATTTGGTGTTGAACAATCTCATCAAGGTCAAGGTATTGGCACACTTCTACTGAAAAAAATGAAAAGCTGGGGACGAAAAAAAAATTATTCTGCGATTATCTTACATACACAAGTAAATAATTATAAAGCAATTGGATTATATGAAAAAGTTGGATTTATTAAACAATATTATGCAAAAAACTTTTTTCCTCCACGTGGATTTCTTTCATTTTTTCAATATCATGAACCAGATGCATATCAGATGATTTTATATTTGTAACAAGAAAATTTTTTCTTTTCTTAATAAAAAAAAAAAAAAAAAACTTTTATTTACTTATATATGATTGACAATGACTAGGATCTGAATGATACCACAATATTGACATACTTCGCAATAGCTATGTTAAATTTGTTGTACATTTTGAAATAAAAACATCCGAGAAGAAAGTGAAACAAAGATAGTTTATTCACAGATCAAAACAGTAGCTATTCTTCATTTAAATGTTCATCTAATGAATAAATCGAGTTTCATATTCAATTCTTTCCACATGATGTGTCAAAGTCACCTTGAAACTAGATGACGAGTCAAAAGAATTCACTGAAGCGTAAACAATAGTCAATTATCATGAATATAATATTCTTTTTTTATATTGATACTTGAAGCAAAATATAAATGGATACCCCAATAGTACTCACTTTTTCTATAAAACTTGTATCAAATTCAACAATAATTCGTTCAATAGTTTTGAAAGAATATTTTTCAAAATTAACATCAAATGTTGAAGTACTTTATCCCACACAAATTCATTGTGGTCTTTTATTATGTAAATCTAAACGAAGTAAATTGAAAATATTTATTTATTTTATTGTATTTTATTTTTTTTTTGCATATAAAATTTTATATTCTTTTTATATTAGCGGAAGAAAAAATTTTAAATATGCGTCATGTACTTTCGAATGGATCAACAATTCATTTATCTCGTTTAACTTGTTCAGTATTTCAACAAACAAAATGTACAATAAGTGGACAAATTATGCAATTAAACGACATAAGTACATTATTTCAACAATGTTTACCATTTCTACATGCTTCCGGTTTTGATTTGATTATATTTTTTCTTTTTATTATTGTAAATTTTTTTTCTTTCAAGATGGAAAAGTTCAAGTAAATCCTGATAAATCAATTGTATTGGAAGGTCATATATTTGTTTTAAATTCTATTCATTCATTTCTTATTAACAAAATATCTAAAACAGAGCAAACAAATAACACAAATGCATCAGAATCATTAAATTTACATAGTAACAATATAAATATTAACGTTATGAGTGGAAAATTGCTTGAACAAAATGTTGATAGTATTATGTAAGTTTTCTGTTTTTTATTAATATAAATTTTCTTATTTTATATTCTATTAAAAGAATTCCAATGTCTGATAAATATAAAATTCATAAAGCATTCGAGAGACAAATACAATCATTGGATAGTACAAATATTTTTAATTATTTTAAAGAATTAAAAACAAAAACTACACATGCTCATGAAGGAGATGTAAGTTTTTTAATTGAAATATTCAAACAAATGAAAAAAAAATAATTTAAATTTAATTAATAGGTTATTTTATTACCAAATCATGGATTAAAAATTCCAGCAAAAGTTCTTATCTTTTTTATTGCTCCACGTATATCAAAAGATGAAGCTATAAAAGATAAATCAGTGATTGATGCATTTCAACCAATATATGAAAAATTAATTTATGATGCTTTACAAACTATTGAGCAAAATAATATAACAAGTATTGCAATGCCTCTTCTTGAACCACATGGTAAATACTGAAATTGATATATAATATTTTTTTTTTTTGTTTCTAATAATATTTAAGTTTTTTCTTTTTTCTAGTTAAAATTGGCTCTGAAAGACGTTATGCTAATGAAATGACTTTTCGTGCAATGATTAGTGCTATTCGACAATATTCTCAAAATTCATCAATTACATTAAAGCGAATTATAATTGTTGATCATCAAATACAAATAAAACGTATGAGTAAACGTGTGGAAAAATATCAAAAACAACTTCAAAAACCAATATCACATAATAATAATAATAATAATAATATTGATCTTGATACAGGTGATAGACATTCATTTGCGTATATATTTGGTGTACCAAAAATATCAGAAGTAACATCAAGTGCAAGTGATACTGATGATGATATTGAACCAGAAGATTATCAACTTCCTTATAAACATCATTCAATAATTTAATTAGAAAAGAAAAAAATATTTAAATATTTTATTAAAGAAGATTATTAATGTTCTCGAATTTTTGATTGGCAATTCAATTAATAGATTGTAAAGAAGAAAATAAAAAAACATATCTTCTTTGATTAATAAATATATATTGAGTACTAAGAAGAATATTTGATTATATGACAAAAGGACATGTTTGATTTGATAGATCGTTAATTTTGAATAGAAAATAATACAAAACAATATGTCATATCTCATATCCGGAAAATCATGATTGCTTAACAATTTGATGGAAATTATTTTCAAAAGAAGAACAGCATACTTGATATAAGTACGTCGAAGTACTATTGAATAGTTTTCCAAAGGAAAACACGATATGGTTATGTGTTTTATAAATATAAGGTAGGTTATGTACCCGTCAAAATTATTTTCTTTTTATGTAATATTATGATCATCGTAGGTACAAACTTCGCCACAAGAAAGAAAAATTTTCTCAACGAATAGATATTTTTGATAAGTTTTCCCTATTGTCAAACTATAATAAATCATTTTATAAGATCTATATGTTAAATAGAAAACCAAGAGAACAATAAGATTAGTATGAACGCTAAATAATGCTATACAAAAAAAGAAATAAATTAGTTTCATCAATCATCGAATAATATTGATAGTCTTAGTCATTCTCGAAATGTTTTATTATAACGAAAACCAGAATTTAATTGTTTTCATGTTAGATATTGTTCACTTTTCTTATAAATTAGAACTAATTGCCTAAAACTATCGGAGAAAACCACCAAGGGTGAGATGAAGAGTTGACTGTAAAGATAAAAGTGATGGATTAGCTGGATAATAAAGTTTTCTCACTTGTTATCTTGCCTTCAACAATTCCATCACAGCTTGTGGCTAACAGTTTGCTATATGTACTAGGAAAAATAAGACAAAGGTTAACCTAATAAACATAACAAAGTATAACAAAACGTAATATAGAATATACGGATGTTGAACGAGAAATTCATTAAATAGTGAAAAAAAGTAAAACAAAAATCCGTTGGATTGCTCTTTATTGAGAAATTAATTATACAATTTGTTAATGAACTTTGTATCCTAATTATTACGAAAGAAAAACTTTATTAAGTAATTTTCTACATTGAAAAGCTATCATGTAGATAATAATTTTTTTGTAAAACTTTAATCTATGTGCTTGGATGCAGATAAATAAATTCTCCAGGTTGGATGATCATCGACAGTAATTACAAGAAGTTCTCCTATCGAATAAAAAACGCATAGACTTTAACCTTTTTGTTTGATATTTTGCCTAGAAATAGAGTTCGATAAATTCTACTTGCAAGCGGCAAATAAAGCTCGATAGATCTAAATGCAAACGATTTATGACGAAAACATTGGATTTATCCGTAGGATTTAAAAAAAAGCTTTTTTCTGATATTTTTCTGATTTTCCATTATTTAAATTTGGTAATCTCCATTTTCTTATTAACAAAGAAAAATTTGCATGTCTATATTTTGTCACAAATAGGGTATTTCAATCCGCTGTAATCAATTGGATTAGAGCAGAAACGTTCACTAGAAAAAAATTCAAAGCTAAAGATAATATCAATCAGTTGTCGTCGATTTTCATCAAGTCTCATTTAAAGTTTACTTTATAAATCAGACAAATTAAAACCATGTTATATGGAAATTTTTATCAATGATAGAGGTACTACTTAGTTGTCGAATGTTTTGAGATTTGTTTTCTATGTTAAAATATCCTTGTTTGAAGATAAAAATTTTGTGTTAATCTTCTAGTTCTTTCACATAAAGACGAATCAAATCCTTACGATTAAAATTCGAAATTCTCTATTCGTGATCAAATTAAAAGATTTAATGATTAAAGTTTAAATATTTCTTATTCTAATAGCTGAACTTTTTGCATTTACTATATTCATTTTTCTAAATGTAAAATAGCATGAATATATGAGTAAATTTACAATTACTTTCAAAGAATAATTCATATATAAAAAGAATTAATATATTTTTATGCCTTTCTATGGGCACTATTATCGAAAAACTTAAATTAGATCCAATGCAAGAGACATGAATAATTTGTCATTCATGATTTATATATATACAAAAAAGTTTAACTTCTTAATGCTTGTAAACGTCGTTCCATTTCATCTTCTTCACTGTCAATATCAACTGCAGCAGCAGCTGCTGTTTCAGTTTCTTTCATTGTTGTTCCACCAACAGCAACACTTGGTAATTTACCTAATTTACCTTTGTAAGAAAAAAAAAAAAAAAAAAAACAAAAGAGAATTTCATAAAATGAAATAAAACTTTTCTTTTTTCTTACCAGCAAGAACTTCATCTAATACTTTAGCTATTTCTTCATCTGTTTCTTCTTCAAGTTCATCATTATCCATAGCAGCATCAACTGCTTCATTCATCATTTCACCCATAATACCCATCTTAAAAGAAAAAAAAATAAATAAATAGATGAAAAATAGTTGTTTTTTTTTTCAAATCAAATATTATACTTTAATGAATTCTTTTGAAAATTGTGTAGTTATCGCTTGAAGTTGTCCTACTTTCATTAATTGAGCCATTGAACGAGCAATTTCATTACTTTTTTGCATTATTCCAGTTATTTTAACATTGGCTAAAAAATTCTTCGAATTGAATCTTTGATTTGTAACAATAAAAACAGTGATGATTTACCTAATTGATTTTTAACAGCATTATCAATTGTATCAAGATTAGCTTTTGCGGAATATAAATGACTTTTATCATGTTTTATTCTTAAATAAAAAACAAATCATTCAATTTTTTTTTTGTTAAAATATGAAGTCGAACAAAAAGAAAAGAAACTTACTTAACAATAGCTTTTGCGAGAGTACGAAGAGCGTCTTTATTATTACTAGCTGCATGTTTACGAATATCTATTGAAAGACGTTGAATTTCTCGATCAGATTCTTTAAAAAAAAAAAAGAAATGAGAAAATTTTCTTAAGTAAATATAATAATTACGGTTAATTTGTCGATCTAGTTGACGTTTTTCATGACGAATTTGTTTACTAATCTCACGAGTCTAAAATATTAATTAAAATCAAAAATAATTTTTGTTTTTTTTGAATAATTAAATAAACAAACTTGTTCTTTAGCTTTTTCATAAGGAGTTCGTTTATCGAAGAAACTCATCGTGACTAAATAAAAATAAATAAATAATAATAATAATCGAATACAATTCTTCTTCAGGTGTTGAATTTTTTGTTATTTTTATTGGTTATATATAAACAGCTAAATTAATTTTGCAAAAAAACAAAAAAAAAAAAATTTTATAAAATATAAAAGAAAATTTATTTTATTTCAAAATAGTTTTTAAAAATATATATATATTTATTTTCTAGTGTCTCAACGTTGATTGTAGCGCTTAATTTTCTAATTTGAATGATCCCATTTATAATATCCTTGTTCGTTCGTTTATTTAATATTTTTCGTATCATATCACATATACATGAAAGATTCATATATTAGAGTTTTACTTTTTAATTAGTCAATTTGATAAATAAATAAAACTAGTTAACGAAGTTTGGTTTAAAGGTCTTTTGAATCATCTTCACTATCTTATCTTTTCATTTATTTGCCACAGAGATTTTTTTCTCTTTTCGTCATTCTCATTTTTATAAACATACGAAAACAAAAAAAGATAACTTTTTTTATTATTTTAGATTGTGCTTTGTCACGTATTGTTCTAAAAATCATAACCATGTTAGACATAATTCAATCATCATTTATTTTTCTTCTATTATTAATTGTTCCAAGTGTTGAAGCAAAAATGTCAGCTGTGGATGTTATTGCACTATTAATTGGACTAGCTATACTTTTATTTGGTTTATGTGCTCTAATTGGTTGCTATGCTCGACGACGTAGTGGATAAAAAATAAAATATTAGGTTTTTATTTCAAATCAAATAATTATGTGTTGGTTCCCGTCTTTCTATTTTTTTAATAACTTAAGACAAAAAAAATTTTTTTTTTTTAAATGTTACATCGTGTTTTTTCTTTTTCTTTCATTTTATTTATTTATATTTTTTTTTTCTTAATAGACAACAAATGTGAATAAAAATAACTGGTGATTTTTGTATTTGTGATAATTGTAGTATATTATGTCTCTATCACGATCATCAACACGACAAGTACATACTGTTTTGGGTGGTGGTATACGATATGAAACAGTTGAACTTGTTCTATCAGCAATACCTAATTTTGAATTGAAACAAAAAGGACGTATTCTTCATTTGTTTGCAGAGGTAAGGAATTACAAAAATCAAATACAATACATTCAATAATGTTGAATTGATTCATGATAAAGTGATTGATGGCAGATCATATAGAATTTCTCGGTTTTCTTTTCGTATATGTGTTTGTTGAATAAATAACTTTGTTAAACTAAAATGTTTGAAAAGAGGTCGAAAGAATCTTTTGCTAGGAAAGTGTCGGTAAATGTGTGTCACGGTCTATAAGAGCTGCCGTGAGCGCGAACGACGGAAGGTATCATTCTCTAATCTCGAGAAATTTTCATATTTACACAGCAAAGTTTCAGGGTTTTAATCGTATTTTTCTTCATCAGTTCTCATAAAGACCTCTTGACTTCTAGCGATCTTGGGATGTCGATATGCATTCATACAAGAAATTCAAGAGGCACTCGATGAACGACAAAATAATCTTGATACTTTTTTTGTTCATAATCAAACTAATACATCATTAGCAGAACCATTTGCATTTGAATCACAAATTGATACTGATACATATCCAATTGATCTATCTGCAAGATCAACAGATGAAATATTCCATCCATTAATTGAATCAGATAATAATATGTCAAATGAAACTGTTCCATCATTAGCTGTTCCCAATGAAAAAAATCAATCTGAAATACATCCTTGTCATCAACAACAATTAAATTGGACATCAGTAAAAGATTCAATAAATATTAAAAAAGAAGCTGTAACACCAGTAAGACAACGTTCTGCTTTATCTTTTTTTTCACTTTTGTTAATTTTTTTTTTTTTTCTAAATTTATTTTAGCCAAAAACAAAACGACGTCAATCAAAAACTTCATCTAATTCAAAACAAAAAAAATTATCTTCAATACCATCAATGCGTCAAATGACAATGACACAATTATTTGATCCAATGGAATCGCCTAAATCAACCAGAACATCCATTTCGACTTCTATAAAACAAGAACCAGAAACACTTGGCAATGATACAATAATGTATATGCCAGAATCACTTATCGGTTTAGCTCAACCATCGGAATCAATATCTGATAATGAAAATGATCAAGTAAAATTCATTTCTTATTTTTGTTTTTTTAATGCATTTAAAAATTTATCATTACTTCAGCACAATTTATCCGATTTATTGGCATCTATTAAACAAAGTAAAATATCAAATTCACCTTCATTGAAACGTAAATATATTCCTTCACCAATTGTGAATAATTTCATACCTCAACAAACAACAGCAACAACAACAACAACAACAGATGAAGAAGAAAATATTCAAAATGAAGCTCTTATTGAATCTCCTTATGCTGGTATTGAAAATGAAGAATTACTTTATGCTTGTTCAATGTGTCGTAATTATTGGCTTGGTTTACCTAAAGAACTTCGTCATAAACAAGGTTTAACATGTCGTCATAGACAAAGACCAGTTGTTCATACACCAGAACATTTTTGGTCATTAGGTGTTCCAAGTACACAAACTTGTATTGAACGTGGTTATGGTGGTGTTCTTCCACCAGATAAACCAATTGAAAGACCAAGAAGACCAAGACGACAATATCAACGAAGATTACAAGAACGACAACATCAACAACAGAATGATGATAATGATGAAGAAGAATAGAGAATTTATTTATTTTTCTTATTTGTTATTATGTCAGTTTCTTTTCCTTTATTCATTTTTTTATTTAATAAAACAAAAACAAAGGATCTTTGTGTGAATAATAGTACATTTTCTATTGTATTCTTTAAATTCATTGTAAAATATTTCTATTGATGAAAGAATAGGAGTTCAATTGTACTAGAACTAGATAAAGAATGTTACAAATATATTATACCATGAATTAATTCTAAAATAATAAATACAAACAATAAACACTCGAATGTTTTCAAGCACATGAATTTTAATTACGATGCCATCGATGGTTTCCATTGTACGTAGGATTATCCGTTACTGGGAGGAACTATTAGAATTTATTTAAGCTAGCAGTTTTATCCATAGGTCACTTTGAATATCGTTGTTACTGTCATTCTTAACTAATATCTATTTCAATCAACAAGCGCATGAATATTTTTGATTAACTTTTGATAGAAACAAACTAGAACATTGTAGTTTTTACCATTGAAAACAGGGAATGAAATCGCATCGAATTGGGTATTATAGGTTCTCTTAAGATGTTTTCTAAAAGTTTTTTGGATTAAACTTATAGAAAAGTGTTGAGACTATGGCATCTTTTAACATTGGAAAAAAAAGCAAAAAATCTGATTTTTTTTCAAAGCAACTACTTAAAACATCGATTGGCAATGTCAAGTAGAAGATCTATGACTCTTAAATGACTAAATCTAATAATCTGATTCTTGCGTCGTTTTGTAGATCTTCGATTAACGATTCGGATGCACACTATGATTGAAAATTCACTATAGTCACATGAAGGGACACGCTAGTTTCGAAGGAGTTAATTGAAAAGCTTTAAAAACAGGTCGAAAAAACTTCTAATATACGATTCTCTGCGTCTTGATCTGCAACTTCTAAAGGTGAAAAGTGCAGCTGTCTATCATCTTTCTATCAAAATTGATTTAAAAAAAATTGTCATCCACCATTTTTTTTTAAATCGACATTAGGTATATATAATCGATCTTATTGCTCTCGTTTGATCCTAAAATATATAGAAAAATCTTGGAATCAACTGATTAATCGACTTTATATCCATTAGTAAAGACTACGATTAATTTTTATTTTCAAGACACAACATTTTACATATATTATTTATTAAATAAAATTTAATCAATATAAAAAACAAAATCTGTCGAATGCATTCATCCTTCTTTTTTTTTTAGCTTTGTTTATATTACATATTCATTATGTGTTACTCTACCATTTAAATCATCATCTTCTATTGTATGTAATGATGTATAAGCTCGTAAATTTAGAACAACAGGTAAACTTTCAGCAACAATTGAATGATGTACAATAAATGAATTTAATGTTGAGAAAATTTTTTTTGTTCCCTTGAAATAATTTTTTTTACAAAAATTTAATTTTTAAAAATAATTTAAAAAACAAAACTTACTCTTAAATAATAGCCAACATTATCTTGATCAATTAAATAATGAACAACACATGATCGTTTCATATATTTTGGTACACGAATTGAGAGAACATAAGTATTTGTTGATGTTATAGATGTTGGTCGTCGTACAAGAAAACTACCAATTGAACGACATGATAATGCATCTTCTACAGCTTCTCTAATCAAAATATACTTATTCTTATATATATATATATTTAGATGATCTATTTTATTTACCTTGTTATATTTTCATGAAGCCATGGTGTATCTTCATCAGGGACACTTGGTGTCAATGGTAATGGAGATGGATTTGGAGCAAAACTAAATGGTACTTTATTTATTTATTTAATAGCCATATTATATTATGATAAGTAATGCTGATATATATATATGTTTGACATGACCGTGAAATAACTTCTTAGGTAAATTAGATTCTGAAATTTAAGATTGTTATTGTTTGTTTTTTTTTTTCTATAACTCTACTTTTTAACTAGAATTTCTGTTACATGAAAATTTAGTATATCTTAAGACATTAGTTATTCTTTGTTGATATTCATTGAAGAAATTAATTATGTAATTTCTTACATACCTTTTAAGAACAATTGATGATGGTCTATTAATAGAAATAATTGAATTTTGAATACTTTTAAAATCATCACTTAATGACGAATCTGTTTCTTCATTACTATCTGCTGTTGTTGCTCCTCCTACTATTGTATGTGCAGAACTTTTATCCAAAAAAAAAAAAAAACACAAGCAAAACATTGATTATCCTTTTTCTTTTTGAATACAATAATACATGAAACATACTTGCTCTTCATTCGTTGACTAGTATTGCTGCTAGCAAATGTTCGTCTTATTGTCTCAAACATTGATCTTGTACAATGTATACTTAGGCTATTCTTATCTGGAAATAAGAGAATAACTTAGAACATAAACAATTTACCTTTAGTTGAAGAAGAAGAAAGAGAGAGACAGAGAGAACAACTAAATAAACGTTCTTTATGATGCAATTGACGATGATCAATGTGGTAGACACCAACAAAAACAGAAAAGAAAAGAGAGCGGGAGAGGATAGACGTGTGAGAATAGTTGATTAGGTTATGGTTAAACAACAACAAAAAATGTATTGTTTGATCTTTTTTTTTTTCCATCTTTGCATTATACAAAAATATCAAATAACTGATAGCTATCCATCTTCACTTATAAATGATGATCATTCTGATAAACGATTAGAAATCTATCTTTTACTGACGACTGACCACTATCAACTACATTGAACTGATTGTGTAATCTAACTCTCGAGAAGTCAATGAGTTTTTCTTTTCTCTTTTTCTTCTTCAGATGGCCAATAGTACATATGTGTTATGTCAGTAACTATTCTATGTATTTCGGAAGATGAATACGATTGATATATACTATCAACAATAGATGTGTATGTATATATTATAGGTAAAAGAAGATTGTATCTCATATGACATTCAACTTTATCAAAGACAATTATAACTTACTATTGTTTCATTATTGAGCTTGACTAACTAACTTTACGTCTTATATAGATCAATCTTTTCTCCTCATCTTTCGCTTATAATTACATCATAAACTAGAATCGTGCATAAAGAAATAAAACATTATCTTTTTTGATCTCAAGTATCTCCATTATATGTTTTTCGATCAAATCGAACACATCATGAACTAATCAATTTCTTTTTTCTTTTTTTGCTTGTCCATTACAATCATAAAAAAATGAGATCATATTTTTTTTCTCTTCAAAATTTGTTTCATTCTGTAATGCTTCAAGATAATAAACGCATATAAAATGCACAAAAAAAAAAAAAAAAACGAAAAATATAATTGTAAACTAGAGAACTACACGTGAGAAAAAAAAAAGCAAAGTTATGATATTTTATTTGTAATAAAGAATCAATCGATTTTATTACTCCAAACAAGCCATAGAGCATGAATGCATCCCGGTAGAAAACCAAGAATGGTTAATAAACTAAAAAAAAAAAGAATATAAAACAAATATAGTATTTAATAAATTCATCAAGAAATATCAACTTACATATTTAAGAAAAAATGTAAAGTACAACCAACTTGAATCAAAGCAGCAGCCGGCGGAAAAATAATAGCTAAGATTGTTAAAAGACTAAAAAAAAAGAAATTAATTTACATAAGTTAATTATGGATTAAAGTAACATACATAGTTCCAAGTAAACCCATGTTACCAAACGATAAGTAATAATAATAGAAAAGTAATGTATAACAACAACTTTTCTCTTTTTTTCCTTACGAGCACAAGACTATTTTTTTTTCTTTCTCCAACTTAGAATACAAAAAAAAAATATATATATATGCTGATATTGCTATGCTTTTTCTTCCGAAGCTCGCTTTTTTTTTGTCCTGTCGAATCTATAAACGGTACCAGTCCTTGTACTCTATGTATGTGCAGAATTAGTTTTTTTTTCTTCCTCACGTACTATATGTAATCTGGTGCCATACTATAATAAATATATTTTTACATATTATTCTTGATTCTACGTAAATCATACTTGAGACTAAACTATAATACATGTGATCTAGTTGATAATGATTTGAAAATATTTTATGATTTGAATTCATTCAATGTATTACAAAATATAATTCTTATTTGAAGGATATACTTTCTATATTTCTATATAAATCATTGTCAAAATTAGAATATGATTAGTAAAAATTTTATATTGTATGCAAGGTCAGAGATAATTATTTATCCAATACATTCTAGAGATATTGATTGACTGTTTATTCAGCTTCGAATACATACCGTTTAATGTTGATGACGTGAAGAAAATATTGATCAGAATTCTATACCCAAACATATACTAAATTATGCATCATTTACTGATGTATTATTGCGTTTTTTGTTCAGTATATATAGAGATCGTTAACCGAAAATATCAATCAGTGAACTTAAAATCTTATCAACAGACTGTTGAAATACAATATCAATTCAATATATCGACACAAAATTTTATCAACTAAATACATAAAATAATGTTCGATTATACATGATGATGATCAAATCATTTTATTACTTTAAACAATTCATACAAAATGAATAGATTCTAACACGAAACTGAGATAATTGAAAATACTAAGCAAAGAAAAAGCTTATTATCACAGATCCATATGGGTTAAGATGTAAAACTCACATGTCTTCTTTAGCTTCACTATACTATAATAAAAAAAAAACGTAAAGTGAAGCATTTCTGACAAATAATAATAGCTTTCCATAGATAATCAATTTGTGAGAGAAACGATCTGTCTCTTTTATTTTTACATTTCGAACAGATTTCTTTTTTTGGTTGGCATACTATTTTTTATTTACCGTGATTTTATTCTCTTGTTATTTATGTTTTCTTTATTTACTATTATTATACTTCTTCTAATCATTGATTTGCTTGACAAAGAAGTCTGCTATACGTATTCATCATTTCTACAATAAGTCTTAACATACTATTATGTATCTGGATACACTTAGAAATACTGATATTGATTATATCCAAAGGTTAAAAATTTATCAGTTCATGCTTTTTGTATTGGTTGAATGATGATGGCTATGGCAAATCAATACGTCACTAGTCATTATTTTTGACATTTATCTGTGCAAAAATCTGAAACCTTACTATTTGAAACATTGAAAAATATATTTCAATCATATTATTTTCAAGAAAGGCTTTGGAATGAAACACAATAATGTAAGCCTTATCGTTAGTGCTATTATAGTGCCTTTGTCCTTCGTTGCTAAGGAACTATGGAAAAGAAAGTTGATGTCTGTTGTCATCGACTACTACGAAAAAATTCACACTCAATGATCTTAGGCTCAAATCGCTAATACCTGCACGGGAGTAGAAGGGAGCGAAAATTTGGATTTAAAGCTTACATTCACTATTTTCCTGCGAAAAATATATGTAAGTTCCGTAAGAAAAACACGAAAAACTGATATAGCTAAAAAATACATTGTACATCCGTCTTAAACAGAAGCTAAAATTGTCACTAGACTATGAAAACAAATGAATGAATATTTGATCGGTATAATCATTCATATTAAACTTTGTATATGAAAGTATCAGTTAGAAAGTCAAGTAGGAGAAATACTTGACGAAATGTATTTATCCTTTCAAAATAAAATTGAAAATATTCAGTATGCATGTTTCTCTAGTCGAAGGAATAATTTCATTTTTAATTCATTCTGTAATTTAGTGTTGAAAATTTTGTTTAACTATAATAATCTAAGTTATTCTTAAAAATTAAATAAATATGACTTATGAAAATAAAGTAATTTTATAATTAAATCATCAATACTTATATCCTAGTTGAACTTGTTTTTTTCATATGTTTGACATGCATAGACTTCAAGATGCGTTCATATCACATGATTTTCTTGCTCAAAATTCGTAAGAATTTTATGAGCATGAAAAAAAAAAGTTTGGTGTTCGATAAAAATGTATTCTAATTAAAGACATTTTTTTTTCTTAAATTCTTTTATCATTTCTTACATGAACGCTTGTTTTGTTTTTTATAGTCTGTTATCACATTTTTCGATGTGTTTTACAATGAAGCAATATAAAATTATTATCAGTTAGTATAATGAAAGATTTTAAGTGCATTTTTATCAATACATAAGAAAAGATGTTTCAATCAACATCATTTCAGATAAACATTATATCAAAGGTTATTCAAACACTAAAATAATATGAATAATATAAGTTTTATCAGTTATTAAAATAAATCAACATTGATTTGTAACCAGCAGAGTGATCATTAAGAGCTCGCCTCAGAAAAATCCTGTTTTGGTCAAATCTATCGATTTTGTGAGTTATAGCTTATTAGATAGAGCAAAGTGTGTACTTTCGAATATATACATACAGTATTGAAATTTATTTTTCGTTTTTCTCAAAATTTTTTGTTTTCGAGCATACTTTTTACACGCGGACAAATCTTTCTTAATAACGACTACTTATAAAAGTAATAAATTTTTTTTTGTACACAGTAGATAGTTAGGGCTAGGTTGTAATAGAGCCTGGTTTTTGAATACGTCGTGTGCTGACATAAAAAACGTAGATCTTTGATTTTAATTAGTAATGTTTTCAGCCTGCAAATTTGAAAATTTTTCGAAAATGCTTTCTTTTAAAGGCACATAAACTGAAATTAAAAAATCAGGCTCTATTAAGACCTAGTTCTAAGTGTATTCTACAATTTAAAAACTGTCCCGACATGTTAACTCGTACCCTCATTTTGAAAACTTTGCCTGCGTAAAGGGTAGTTTTAACCAATGAATCAACTATAACGTGTGAGTAACTTGAAGATTTGTAAGAGATATTTTACCCACAATTTAAACTAGTCAAAACTAACACTCTGAAATTTTGGGTGAAATCGGATGAAAAATAAACATGTTTATTTCTGAATGAAGGTCCACTTTAAATAAACAGGTTAACTAAGTGTATATAATAGAATCAGTAAGAAGACAATAGTGATATAGATATGCTATTTAAGCGAAAAAATAAGTGTTTTTTTTAATATTCAAGGAAAATCGAATGGCACATTGTCACTAGTAGTCGTTTTAGTGGTACTATTTTGATCTCAATATTTTATGAGTGACATAAACAATTAAAAAGCTTCATCAAAATCAGCAAGAAAAATGTAATTTTGGTTTTTACTGATCGGCGTGACTAAACGTTACAAAATTTCATTTTCTTACATTACAGCATAAATTGTGTCATTGGACTATCTTTAGTCAAAGCTGAACTACCGAATTAATGCCAACCACCACGGAATTGATTTTTCTTGAGGAGCTGAGAGTTTAATATTCCACTGTGATATGAAGGGGATGGGTGTAGGTATGAATCCCTTCTTCATTCACAACCACACAGTATCTTGGTTTGTTGATGTCTAAAAAGCAATCCAAAAATATCGGAATCTCAAAAAAAACGTATTTTCCTCTGAATTACAAATCCAAAAGTTCTTAAAGTTTGGCTTATACTCTTTTACTATTAGATGAATGTTACCCTATATTTTTCTCTCCCACTCTAGTAATAAAGGAGATATAAAATTCGTATTAAAGAGAAGTTTTTTTTCACATCTACATATCCAACAAAGAATGACATTTTATATGCAAATCTAGAGAAAAAAGTGTATAAAAGGAATGTATTCAAATGGAAATATATTGAAAATATTGCATTGAATAAAATTATGTGAAAAGGCTTTATTAAATTTATATAGCACATCGATGAAACTGTATTTAATTTCTTATTAATTGTATGAAAATATATCAACATTATTCATCATTAATTTTCGATAGATTTTTACCAATATTTATAGCATTTCACGATTTTCTATTTTCATATTGATTTCGTTTTATAAGGCTTTTCTTTTATTCTATAGTGTTTTGATGAATATCTATTGGCAACATGCAAAACCCTTAAAGATTAAATTTTGCAAGTATACAATTCGATAATGTATTTAGAGTTGATTTATGCAATACCAAGATGATCACAAAGGCTTGTTATAAAACAAAATTATCCAATCAATAGAAAGGATTATAGTAACACCAAAATATAGAATACTACTTTTATTTGTCATTATATTTGAAGTGACACTTATGTACTTGAAACACTATCTAAAAATAAACATGTCACTTTTTCGAGTTGACGACATTGGAAAAAAATATTCCTAAAATATGAATAATATATATTTGACATCACTAAAAACTGGTAATACAAAAATTTATTCTAAGACTCCTGTAGTTGGACAGGATAAGCTAGGGAACATTGAGTGTTGTTGAATTTATGATCAGATAGAAAAAGCATTTCTGCTAATAGGGCTCAAAACTTTTCAATCACCCACTAACATTTGTATCAAGGTCTTATATTGGAAGAATATTTCTTATTCTATGGATCCATGAACGATTTGTTCCATGATTTCTGCTGAGACGAATTTTTATAATTTGAACATTATACTCGAGTGTTTTCTAGAAGTCATCACAATCTAGGTGATGGTATAATATAAGTAACAAATCATGGAACCAGATTTATTAAAAGTTCGAAAGAAAGCATGTATGCAAAAAAACAAGTGAGACATGAGCATTCTAAATTCATGTAATTAACATAGGTTGAGAACGAGTTCATACAGAAAAGAAAAATTGTTAATATCAATCAAGCAGTATAGTCACCGCAAGTCTA